CCCTCCAGCCACCCGTTTCTCCCCACGCTCTTCTCCCCAGCATCCCTCCGCTGCCCACCCTTTCCCCCGGTTGCATCGCCCTGAAGAAATGAAACTTTCCCTCTTTGCCTTCCACCTTCCACCTAAATTATCCACAAGGATCTCTCTCTTTCTCTGCCACGGGCGAACAGGCTCTTTCTCAGTCCAAGCTCGGGTCTGGTAGAAATGAAACATTGCACCAAGCCACAGCATTCATCTCGAAATACTTAAATATTAGCTTGAGAGAGGCGACCCGTCGCTTTGCTCCAAGAAATTGTAATTTAACTTCACCCTGGGATGGAGGAAAAAAAAATAAAAGAAATCACCCTAGGAGATATTGGAATCAGATGCGGGTGTCTCTCATGTGTGAGGAAGGGTGAATTCATTTCGAAATGTGCTTTTGTGCTTGTGTCTGTTGGAAACCCAGATTTCTCCCCAGCCCAGCTTTCTTTCCTCACTCAATAGCTGGTAAAGTCCCCTGGATATTTAAGAAGTTATAACCAGTGCTTTTAATCAAAGAAAAGTTAACCACACGGTCCAAAGGCAGGATTTGCCTAATATAAATAAATAAATGCAAAGGAGGGAAGAAAAATATGGACAGGCGCTAGTAAGTCTTTCCTTACTGCAAGTCAGCTGTATATCATTTAAATGACTCGAATTGGCTTCTTCTCCCGATGTGGAACAAGTATATATTTCTTACAGGCGAGGGTAGTAAAATGGAAAACACAGTGTCTGGGGGAAGGGGGAAAAAAAACCCTTAGGAAAATCGAAGAATAGTAAATGTATCTGCAGGAAAATATTGCAAGTTTAACTGCCCCTTAATTTCATTTCATATGCAGATCCTTTGGCTCACAAAGAGGAAGGGAAATCCACGAAGATTAATCTCAGTGCACGTAACAGTTAAATACTCACGATGCTATCACATATTTCCCCACACTGCCAGCAGAGGATATCATCATCCTATTGGATTAATGTAAACTGATGCCTCTCCTGTGAGGCAAAGGCTATGTACCCTCGAGTGCAGAAAAAAAGTTTGTTCTGTCCACAATATTCAGCTTGCCTCTGGATTCACAAGGGCATTGCAAACGATAAGTCCTTTGGAGAAGAAACAACTCCCCCCTCGCCCCCCACCCCCAACCATTAACTACCATGCCAATTAAATGAGCTGGAATTCACTTGAGTTTGAACCAGCTCCATTGGAGAGTGGGTCTCACCTCTTTTAAGTGTAGGAAAAGCAAAGCCTTCAAGGATAGCTCAAGTTTATTAAAGCTGCGTCTGATCCAGTTTTCACCCCCAAAGTGCTGGAGATGTCTCCAGGAGAGGACCTTCCCACCAAAGTGCAGCCGAAGGGAGATAGGAACTTTCCTGAGCTGCTAATAAACGCGATTGCTTCCCAAAATCGCTGAATCGGGGCTGACCTGTGCACAAAAGACTTTTCCTATTTTACAAGCTGCCGAAAACAACCGTGTCCTACCAGTCTGGGGAATCGTTTCATGTTGGATACCTGCTCCTTAAAAATAATCAGTTGATAAATACAGTAGAGGGAATTCCTTCCATATATATTTTTTCCTTGCCTATCAATGCAGGCTGGGGATTTTCCGTGTTTCAAATAGATATAAACACAGCCATAAACCCACTGACAATTATGCATACCTCAGCACACAAGTCAATGGTGTGAAACCAACTTTTCCCTCCAGATTAGCGATGTGTTTTTCTTTTTTTATCTTCAAGTATGAGTGAGGCCAGAAGTATGAAAAGTGAAAATGGCGGAGGCAAAAAAAAAAAAAAAAAAGAGGGGAGGAAGGGAGGGCTGGAGGGAGAAGGGAAACACCATTTTACTCTAAAGCCCGCGGTGAAGAAGTTATTCAAAGTACTTGGTTCAAAGGGAAGAAAAGGCAAAAGTTGGGAAACTTCCTTTTCATGCCTTTATTGTTGGTCATTAGCCTGCCTGTCTAGACTTCAAATGACACCTTGTTTATCTGTAAACAGAAGCCGAGGGCACTTAGGGAAATCTGACTGCTGAGTGGCTGGGAGAAGATCAAGGCTGTGGTCTCCTTGCTCATTATGCACGAAGCTCATGATGTCAAGGTCAAACAGACCGCCTAGTCACGGTCAAGGGTAATCCAGAAGTGACGTCATGGCTCTCTGACCTAATATCCCCCATTTAAAGGGGAAAAGAGGGAGAAAAGTGTAAACCACCTCGACCATGTTTGCGACTTGGTACCAAGGGGTAATCCAATGGAAACAGGCTTGGGGAGAGGGGTGTATTTTGGACATGTGGTAAGACCCTCCAACTCTGCTGGCGTTTATGGAGGAGATAGCGGGTGGTGAAACGCTTACCCCACGTTGCAGGGAAGTCACCAGAGATGGAGATGGGGAAACACCCCGATCCCAGCCTGTGAGACCGAGACATCGAAAAAGCAGATCCGTGCCTATTCGTTCAATCTGTTAGCCTCCAACATGCCTCTCCCCAGGCGATCCACCTAATGACATAGAAGGGGAGATACTTCCCCCCCCCCCCCCCCCCCAGCCTCCTTGATATACCCAATGGAAAGTCTCTAAAAGGCTTCTTCAGAGCTCACGAATTTGGGGTTTTTTTAGGTTAGAAGAGCCCGATTCTGGCCTGACAGCCGTGAAAATCAAAGCTGTGCCCTTTGAAGTCCACAGGACTACCTCTATATCCACCCACTCGAGATGGAGGGGTTGGAGTGAAGCCCATACTCACGGAGGCCAGCCGGGCACCCTGAGGTTCAGGGCACCTCCGACATAGTCCTGAGACCTCTCCCACCCGGATCAGACCCCACCATCCTTCACCACTATCTTCTGAAGGCCCTAAGATCCAACCTGGTGCGTGCCTTATGCCCCCAGGCCCTAATACCATTGGAAGGAGCTGGGAGAGTGGGGGAGGGAGGGGGGAAGAGCAAAATAAAGAATCTGAGAGCTACAAATACCCGGGACAACACCGAAAATGATCAGCAAGTCTCTGTTTCCATCACATCCTCGAAGACCATAGACCAGTCAATGTTAGCTTTCAGGCTCTGGTCTACTGGAGTTATGGATCGTGCTGCTTCATTACGATAGATAGATAGATAGATAGATAGATAGATAGATAGATGACAAAGACTCCAACACTTACTGGAACCCCTAATACCAGAGTAACAACGAACCATATTTGGGAAAATAATACAAATCCCAATATCTCCTCATTCCTTCCTCCCCTCCCCAGAGGATAATGCTGATTTGCTTTTCTGTGTGCATAACTGACTCCATACAGACTCAAGGCAAGCGAGAGCTCACTGCGCCGAAACTAGCTGCCCATATCGCCTCCAGGTTGTGGTTCTATCTGCGCATCTGTCAGCCAACACAAAGACCGGGGAGAGATGTCACCCGAAACACGCCTGCCCTGGAACAAACCCGCTTCCAAACAGGACTTGGAAACGTGTTTCCATCTTCAGACCTAAACCTGACCTGGGCTTAGAGACCAGACTCCGGCCCATGCCTGCCTTCGCCGACTGGAGCGGGGTATCAACGCGGATTCTTAGAGCAAGCGACGGGGACTGGCTTTCTACTCCCCTTCCCTGCCAAGACACCGTGTATTGAAGTCACCTCCCTCCAAATAGAAATAGCAATAGAGAATCCTCCGCATTCCCAGGTCCGGATCCAGCCCAGACCGTCCCAAGAGCATCGGGACCCGATCCACTCCGAATCGCCTCTTCTCCCTGCCCCACTATCCAACTGACCACACCGTCGGGTGAACCGGGTCCCTTGCTTCGGGACCACATTCAGAAACATTTAAAGCCAGGCTAGAAATTGCGGGAGACGCCTAAGCTGCCTGTGCTGGCCGGGCGCGCACACACCAATACCCGCCGTCACATACTCCAGTATACTCATAGCCGCATCAATACGCAGCGGGATAACACCCCCGCGTGTACACACGCGCGCTGGCTACTACCTATCACGGATTTCTGGTATCCGGCCCTCTTGTTGTTCTTTTTTTCCCACATCGAAGCAGAGCTAACACGGCTTTGAGGTTGCGAAACTTTCTCACGAGATAACGCGCCCCTGAAAACAACCCCCGCGTTTTCTTTCCAATGCTTGGCTAATTCGCAATTAATTCGCTTTGGAAAGTGTCCGGGGGAGTCTCCCCAGCTGTCTTTGCCTTTGAACGTGAAACGTGAGGCTCCCTCCCAGAGCCCAACCTGTTGTCTGGTGGAGCAGCAAGCAGGCAGGGTGGAGATGGAGCTCTCTCAGCCGATATGAATCAGGCTGGCTTTTGCAAAATCCACCTTGTGGAGGCAGTTCCTCCTTCCCCTGGCACTGAAAGGCACCCAGAAAAGAACCCCTCCAAAAAAACAACCCCCAAACCCTTTTTGGCTGGGTTTAAGCCCATTTCCGCAGGACGCATCGCTTCTCGTATTAGCCTCCACTGATGTGCTCCCTGCCAAAAAAATAAAGGGGTGGGGAAGAAGAAGGCTTCCCTCGTGTTACTTTAGCTATATCCACTCCTATTTTCCTGCGTCTCAGCTCCCAGCTCAGAAGTTTTCTTCTGGTCACCTACTCTTCTTCACATCCAGTTCCCCACCTTCCCTTCCAAGTCTTCTAAGGGCGCCTCCAAGCCCCCGCTTTCTCCTCGGAAGACTTAGAGGGGGATTTAAAAATAATAATCATAAAGACTATTCTGTCCGCGCACAAACACCTCGTCAGCGAGCCAACCTCAAGGCCAAAATGATATTTATTTTTAAGAAATGTAATCTGCATTCAGTACATATCATTTGGACACCACAATATTATGTACATATACAAGACATAAAAAAAATGGTCGCTTTTACATATCGAAAGAACACTGTTGATGATTAGTCGATTTATATTGGGGGCGGGGGGGGGATAATCAACCCCAAGACAATACTGTGCACTTTCTATATTGTCAGTGGAGAACAGAGATTCCAGTTCTATGGCAGAGATATATAAACCCCCATGAGAACATACCAAAAAAAAATATATATATTATATAGGAAGTCACTTTCCATCCACGTGTGACCTCAATTAGCGTTTTGTTATTTTTTTTTAAGTGATACAGAATAATCATCATCATCGTAATCATAATGGGGGGAAAAATGATTCTCTTCCCAACAATAGCAGCCTTTTCGGTCCTTTAGTGACGCCAGAAGATAAAGCTCATGTCTATGTTCTCCATACATTTAACACCAGCGGACGACAGGAGCCAAAAAATATGATCGGTCAGTGAAGAAGGGCTATACAGTTATAAAGGAACATTCAGGTTTCAGGTCTTTTAACATAACTACGCTCTTTTTTTTCTTTTTTTTTTTTCCTTAAATATACACAGTTAACTGGACCAAGGGGTGTCGGCTATTCACAGTCGGAGGACGGATTCGGATTCAACCAAAATATGCTCTCATCTATGATCAAATAGACAGTCTATTATTTGGGTGGTGGTGGTGGTATTCTTAAATAATCAATGGAGCCAGCACGGAGTTCGCGGTGGATGTTCTTATCATACAGATCTACCCGATAAATACGTGTGTTCCTCTCTCTCTCCCTTCCCCCCCTCAGCCATTTCTATGTCAGGTAGCGTGGAGATGCGCTGATTTCGATTTACTGACTACCTTTTTCTCTTTCACCCTCCGGTTCTGGAACCAGATGGTGACCTGGCGCTCGGAGAGGTTGGTGGTGGCCGAAATCCGCCTTCGCTTCTCTTTGGTAATGAACTTGCTCGCTGCGTACTCCTTCTCTAGCTCCTTCAGCTGCATTTTCGCGTAGGGGACTCTCTTTTTCCGACCTCTCCGGTAGCTGCTCACTTCGGGCTGGAGAGGAACCACGTCTGGAGGGACGAGGAGAGAAATAGGCAGGGTTACCCTGTGCCGCGGAAGGGAATGGAAGGGGGTCCGTCCTCCCCCCAGGAGAGGAAAAAAGGGGGTGCAGAGAGATAATTAGATCAGAGAGAGAGGAAAGCTAGCAAGCAAGAAACTATTAGACTTTAAAAAAAAAGAAAGGCTTGGAAAGAATGAAACAGTGAGAGAGGATAGAGGTAAGAGAAAAAGAAAGAACTAGGATGAAAGAGAGAATTAGAAAGTAGGAAAGAAAGAAAAGGATAAAAGGACGAGACAACATTGGAAAGAAGGGGAAACGAGGAGAATGAAAATTAGAGAGAACCCATTAGGAAAAAAGGAAGGAAGAAGGGAAGCTAGTGCAAGACTGAGTGGAATACTAACATATTAGTAGGGCGAGGGGGACTGTTCTGCCCGGATCTGTTGCCCAGGCTGGATTTTCACATACAGTCAAGGGGCATCGAAGTCATTTAACAAAATACTCCCCTCCTCACAAGCCAAGGGGGCTTCCGACCAGGTGCATTTCAGGCCCGGCTGAACACTCCCTGCCCCTTTTTCTTTTTCTTTCCCTTCCCTTCCCTAAGCCCCCATCGGTCTGAACACCTCGCTCTTGCAGGACTCCCACCCGGCATAGGCGCCCTCATTAATTATGAGCTTTACGGCTCAGACCCCGGCACTTTGGGCAAACAAGAGCGTCTCCACTCCGCCCTGCTCCAGCCGCCGCTCGCATCATTTCGTCCTCTTCCAAAAAAGTAACCTGGATTTCCC